TGGTTAATGTGCCAGAATAATGGGTGCATTTGGTGGAGAAATGGCAACTCAGGAATGCAAGTGTATGGCCATAAAGCAAATACAGACTATACAGGTGATGGCTTTAACTTACATAGATTGAACAGGGACAGGTGAGGGGCAGTTCTGAACAAGTGGCCATTGGAAAAGAGAGTCAGCGGCACTGGCTTCTCATTGATTGGGGTGTGGTCCTTCAGTTTGGGGAACTGTTGCTGACCCAGCTGTTGCAGAGTCCTCCTTTAGATCAGTAAATCAAGCCACTTCCTGGAAGGAATTCAAGAATACACTTTGCATGCAGATGAGGGCAACTGAAATCTCCCACTACAGGTCTTCCTGTCATTTCAGTTGATGTGTCTTTATTTAATTGACATGAGGATTTCCAATATCTTCTCTTGTTCAGTGATATTTCAACCTTCAAAGAACTGTTTGGTCCCCAAATAGTGAATACGTTGTTTTTTAAAAAAAATTGATTCCATTCTTGCAGCTCGAGTAAATTCTTCATTACCTAAGAAGATATGATCAATATCACTAACGGATCTTGATCTGTTAGATAAAAAGATTTAGTATTTACTGAGGAAAATTTTTCTTGAACTTGAAAGGGAGATAGAGATGATGGCATAGAGGAGAAAGTTTAGAGACGGTATTTTCACGAGTTGAAAATATGTTGTTCCTCTGCAAAAGCAGAGATATGCAAGAGAAGAAAACAACTTTTAAGAGAAATTATTGCATAACATGTTAGCAGATATAAAACACCTTTCCTTCTCGAGCCCACCCAGTATTCGTAGCTGTAAAGACTACTTGACATTATTTTCATTCATTCATTCATTGTCATTATAATAAGTCATTTATCCAGTGGGAATTAAATACAGAGCACAGTTATTGTTGCCTTTTTTAGCACCTACATATTCTCCAGGTCACTCTGGTGCTCTCTTAAAGAACATCAATAAATATATCTAGATAATACAAACATTGATTTCTTTCCATTGTATCTGCCTATTCTCCTTGGAATAGGGCTTCCTTGGCTAGGATCAAATTCTGTTTATATTTTTATGTGCATTAAGCCTGAGACAGAGAGAAATGTAACTGCACTATGTTTGCTTTGGTAGCCTTTCTGATGTTGAATGGGATGTTCACATTTATTTCTTCCACATTTGATCAAAATCAAGTCTCATCTGCCTACTCATTCCAGCACTGGATAAAATGACAGTGTCACACACAAAGAACAGAACACTCCCTTGGTTTCTTCAACATTCTTTTTTTGGCTTCATTTCTGTCCTTCTCTACTGAGTTTTTAGTCCAAATTTAGTGGAGATGACTAAGAAATTGCCAGGATGTGACAGAGAACTCAGTTCATTGAGTCCTTCCTTGCCATCTTCCAATAGTTGTAACAATTGCCAAGTTTTTTTTCTCCTAATGTAGGTGCCAGTATCTTTGTAGTATCTGCTATTCTTAACAGATACTAAATCACACATGCAGGATCTGTTCATGTGGGGACAGCATCTTTCTACATACAGCTGCTTTCATTATATGATATTAAGAAAATTCCCTGTAGATATATACTATTTTGTGGTTTGGGTCACACCTGAAGGTACTCATAGGTAATTCTTGGCTCTCTGCTCATAAATCATTCCTGGCTGTGCTCAAGGACCATATGGAGATGCTGGGGACCCAGCCCGGGTCAGCTGTGTGCAAGACAAACACCCTATCCTCCATGCAGAATTTTTCTGGTGGTTTGTACTTCTGAATCATGGGATTTCTCAGATTCAGATATGAATCTCTAAAATTCGAATGTAATAAAGAAGAGTTGAATGGTCTACTGTTTTCCGGTCAATAAGACCACTAATTCATGAGAATAGAAGATAGATTGTGACATAAAAGAAGTTCTCGGGACAGGAGCAATAGCACAGCAGGTAGGGCATTTTCCTTGCACGTGACCAAACTGGGTTCGATTCCCAGCATCTCATATGGTCCCCTAAGTATCACCAGGGGTAATTCCTGAGTACAGAGCCAGGAGTAACCCACGTGCATTGCCAGGTGTGACCCAAAAAGCAAAAAAAGAGAAGTTCCCTGCCTTTGGTCATTAATCGTATATATGACTGAGTCACAGGGCAATGATTCTAATTGATGTGATCAACTGGGAGAACTGATGGGAGCAAAGATACATGTATGATAAAGTTCTGACTGGGCGAGATCATCATCTGTGATCCCAGAGGCAAATACATCTGAGGGATGAAGGGAAAGTCAGTAGATAAAGATGTGAGTGATATTCTAAATCAGTGTTTCTCAAAGTGGACAGAGCCCTGGGGGGTCACTGGAATGGCCTGGGGTGCAGTAATAGCCTTAGATATCATTGGGATTGGGGGCACTTCCTGTTGCTTGCTTAAGGAAGGTAGGTTTCAGAAAAAACACCTTATGAAATTTTTCTTCTGAAAAAGGCTGATTATTCTGGGCAAGTTTGGGACCCTCTACTCAGGAAATAAATGGCATTTGTTAAGGCACCTATGATCTGAGGGGATGAGATTGAAAGTATGGTAGTAACTAAAGTGTACATAATTTTAAATGTTTTATCAAGCTGTCCTTTTATTATAGGCAAGGCAATGGATCAAAAGTTCCTGGAACACAGAATGTTTTAATGTTTAAAAAGTTGATTATTTTTTTTTGTTTTTGCGCCACAGCTGGCGGTGCTCAGGGGACCATACAGGATTCTGGGGATCAAAGCTGGGTTGACAGCGTGCAAGACAAATGCTCTACCCACTGCACTATCAGCCCAGCACCCCAAAAATTAGTTTGAAGAGGCAAATCTTTTAATATAACATGAGACCACATGGGAGGCTATTCATGCCAGTAAAAGTGTACTGTGCAAGTACAAAGTAGAGCACTGGCAATGATAGTGGAAGTTCATGATGTTCATGAACTTCAGGGTCCTCTGAAGTACTAAGTGGGAGCACTTGACAAATGTTGAGCTCTGACCTATTGGGATAAGGAGAGAGGACATAGTAATAGAGGTCAGAGGAACTGTGGTTTTAGGATTTATCTATTTTTCTTAGTCTATTTGGGGGAGGGGTTGACTTTCTATCCATCCTTCAAGACTCACCTAAAATAACACTCTCTCTGTGAAGCCTGCCTGCCTTCAGTTTCCAAGCAAAATTCTGTGTGTATGCGTATGTTTGTGTGTTGATTGTTTGGTTTTTGTTTGTTTGTTTGGACCACACCTGGTGGTTCTGTGCAGGGGTCTTCTTATAGTTCAGGGGCCTCTCCCAGCGGTGCTCAAGGGAATATGTAGTGCCAGAGATTGAGCATGGGTTCCTGCATGCAAAGTCTACACTCACCCTTGTGAGATAGCTATCCTGCTTCATTTTACTGATAGTTTCTTTCACTGTGAGCATTTTAATTTGATGTAGTCCAGATTGTTTAGTTTTGCTTTGGCTTTCATTGTTGTTGGCGTTGAGTCCCCAAAGATATCATTGAAATCAAAATCAGGTTTTGGCTTATCTTTTCCTCTATGCATTTTATCATTTCAGGTTTTATGAATTTTATAGCTCCAGATGATTAAAAATATCCAAGTTTTAAAGCTAGTATGTGTTAATTTTTGTGTTTGGGGGGAAATGCAACCTCACAAGAATGTTTTGTTCCTCTTTGCTGAAGTGACTGAGAGTGCTTCAGATCCTGTTATTTGGATGATGTATGTTGTTTAGGATGATATCTCTTATGAAAATGAAGGCAGGTAGAAATATAGAGCCACAGTTCAGAAGAACAGATTTCCAGGAGGCTTGCAATAGCAAGAGTTTCAGAGCTTTTTAAAAGAATTTTGTTAAAATACATTCCCCAGGATATCTCAGCAAGCTGAAAAAATTATATTTTCCTTGGCGCCACTGTTGCGTGCAAACAAGTGTCTTCCACATTGGCTTCCACTCCTTGTGAACCCTCTGCTGTTGCATGGAATGCTTAAGAGATTAAAACCCGTCCTTCATTTCACTTGGCTTTCAAATGGCCATTTTTGATAGCTGTTCTTTATACATACATGCACATATACAAAAGAACTTGGAAGGTTTTATTTTATTTCATTCCTGAAGCATGTGTTGAGTCAGGAAGCCTTCCATTGTCTGGGCAAGTCCAAACAAAACACAGCCAGTGTGTTGCAGAAAATCACATTCCGTTCACTGGGGTGCTGTGTCATTTCTGTTTTTCATTTCTAACTTATTGTAAATTCCTTGCTTTTATATTGTTTTGTTTGCAAATGTTACTAGAAGGCAAGGATGAGGTAAAGATTTTGTTTTGTTTTAGGGCCATTTCTGATGGTGCTCAGGGTTTCCTCCTGACTCTATGCTCAGGAATCACTCATGATGGGCTCAGGGCACAATATGCAGTATGGGGGTTCGAATCTTGGTCAGCCTACTATAATCACAAAAGAAGATTTTTTTTAAATCAGGGTCCAATGATAAAAAATCAATTTTGTTTACCAAAAAGTAGCCTTTATTGTAGCAGCACCTTAGAATTACTGGGAGCCAGATTTTTAATACTAAAATATGAATGTCAGTCATGAGCAGTTGACATTTATGGTAAATAGGAACTGGGGCATATATGAAAAAAGTGCAGTTACTTCTGTAAAGTAAGTTTATTACCCATATTTAACCTGAAGGGAACAAATCTTCATGTGAAGCTTTTCTGATGTTTTTAATCTCCACCTCTATTACTTGTCCACTGTACTATATTTCCATGACTGGTTTGACTTTTTCTATTACTACAGAAAGCTGATCATTTATTAGTAAAACCAGCACTTTGAGTGTGTTTTTTTCTAAAACTTCAAGTGAAATATTTTATACAGCTTGGGTTTCCAATGATATAGTTCATGCCATTAAGATAGAAAACTTGCCATTACAACCTTCAGGAGTGTCCTCACTTCTGAAGGACAATCTCACATGGTTCACCATGAAATCCATAGCTGTAAATATTGATCTTTTGTTTATTTGCTTTCCTTCCAGGAACATTTCACGCCTGAGTGCAAATTCAAAGAATCGGTGTTTGAGAATTATTATGTGACGTATTCTTCAATGATATACCGTCAGCAGCAGTCAGGCCGAGGGTGGTATCTAGGTCTGAACAAAGAAGGAGAGATCATGAAAGGAAACCATGTGAAGAAGAACAAGCCTGCAGCCCACTTTCTGCCCAAGCCACTAAAAGGTAAGCTTCATACTTTAGGTGAGATGGTTTAAATGAGCAGCGGTATTAAATCAACCTTTACCATGCTTTAGAAGAGTGGGATAGAATCTTTCACATTAAGACATTGATATATAAAAAGTTATAAACATTTTACAGTCCTCAAAAAAACATGAAAGCATTGCGAATAGCACCTAATATCTTGATTTTAAATTCCATTAATACCTTCTCACACAGCAGCACCTTAGACGCAAGTAGCTTAAATGCTAATTCAGTGAAGCCAGTAACACCAATTATACCAAAATGGTCCCGGGCAATAATACAGAACAAAAATGTATACATACTTGACACTTCTCGGAAAGCTTCTGGAATCCCTTAAAGGGCCCAGTGATAGAGTCCACAAAATTTTCATTGATAGTTTTGTTCTCCACACATTATCAACAAACTAGCAGCATATTTGTGAGTACGGAAGATAAGAAAGGACTGAAAGCCTATTTTTGAAGTTGTGTGGAGGAGTGATAATAAACTAGATATGAAGAATTATATGCCAAACACAGTAACAACAAGTCTCACGATGGAGACATTACTGGGCCCACTTGAGCAAATCGATGAACAATGGGAGGATAGTGAACAGTAAAGAATTATAAATAATAAAATTTAATAATAGATTTTTAAAAAGAAGATCAGGATGTTAAACATAGTAGGAAAGGGGTAGAAATGCAAACAAAGAATAAATTGTTCAAGAGTTGACCCACCTGGGATCAAAATGTGGGCTTAGAGATCTATTGCCCAATCAAATCAGTAAAACCCTGCTTTAAAGTGCATTTTCTGAAGCTTGGCAACTTCTGTTTAAATCTCAGCATGACTCATTACTAACTTGATGGTCTTGGGAAGAATAATTATGTGTGCTTCAAGTTCCTGATCTGTAAACCATGGATAATTGCACCTACTTCACAGGATTCTTACTTGCATTAAATGAGATCATGCCTGTGAAGCATTTAAAATACTACCTAGCATGTATTATGTGTTCCATAGTATAATCTTATACTGCTCTTGACTGCACTACACAACATAGTATTTACCATTGATTACATAAAGAAATGTGTTAACAGATTCTTGAGTTTCATTAAAGCACATGAATTAATATTTTAAATGCTTTTAAGTTTCAATAAGTACTTCGTTCAGTAAGTTGTAGGTCATATTTAAACTTTTGAGAGGCTTAGTAAACACATCTTCCATAAATCCTAGTGCAGTGTTTCTCAACCTTTGTTGGTTGACCAGGGCCCTTTACCAGTGCTGATTCCTTCCTGCTGGGCCCTGACTTACTGGTTGCCCTCCAGTCTCTTGCCATGAGCACCACCCCCCCTCATTTATGCGTTTTTCACCTGGGTTTCCTTGGAATAGCGTGGGATCACACAGCGACTGATATGTCCCCCACTTGAGAAATGTTGCGCTAGTATATATCACCACAAGCAGTGGAAGCTTAGCAAGAGAATTCTTTGCAGACTACTGTACCAAGACTGGTTTGGGCTTCTTCTCATCCAGTTCCTACTCAGTTGAAGCATAGTTTTGTGGGTCTGGCTGAAATTCTGGTAACCAGAATAAAAGTTGAGGGCCAGCATGGTGTGCCCATTCAAATGCCCTTTACACATCTTTTTGTGCTTTTGCAGTGGCTATGTACAAGGAGCCGTCACTGCACGATCTTACCGAGTTCTCCCGATCTGGAAGCGGAACCCCAACCAAGAGCAGAAGTGTCTCCGGCGTGCTGAACGGAGGCAAATCCATGAGTCACAATGAATCAACGTAGCCAGTGAGGGCAAAACAAGGGCTCTGTAACAGAACCTTACCTCCAGGTGCTGTTGAATTCTTCAGCAGTCCTTCACCCAAAAGTTCAAATTTTTCAACGACATTTACCAAATAGGCAGAATTCACTATTCTCTCTGCCTTTCGTTAAAACCTTCTTATGATCTAAAGCCCCATGATTTAGATTGAGCTTGTGCAAAAGATTGCCAAGTATTATCACAGAACTAAATCTGGGAGAAAGACTGCTCAATTTTCTCATGATCTCACTCTTGTTTGGGGGATGACAAACCAAAAGTATTTCACAGCACTCACTAATGCTGATAAAAAATGCTCTCTAAACCAAGAAAAATGAAAAGACCACAACTGCTCTTCAAAAAACAAAAAGAAAACAAAAATAAATGCTTAAATGTTTTGTGGGGGCAAAAAAATTATGTGAACTGTGTTGTTTTCTTGGCTTAATGTTTTCTATCTACGCTTGACTCAGATGTATCCTTTACTTTGGTGTAGTGCAAATTTATGGTTTTTGGAAACTCGGTGGTTTACTATTTGACTCTGTGTCATTTAATTGAAATCAACCAAATTCAGGGTTGAATCTGAATTGGCATCTCAGGCTCAAGGTAACCGTGTTCTTATGCTTTCACCAGTAACTTTGTTTTAGATTTGTAGTATTCTGGTCGAGTTCTTGTGCTGTACATTGTATGTAGAAATTGAGTTCTATTGTCAACCCCAGTGAGTAAAGACTACTTACAAATATTTATCCTGAAGTGTAGATTTCTCTTAATTCCATTTGTGTTATCACGTTACACTGTTGTGGCTTCTCGCATAAAGACAGGAACTGTGGAACTGTGATGTCTCTCGTGTTGTTAAAATAAGAAGTGTTTTATCTGTATACGTATGAGTCCTCCTGTTATTGTATTTGACACATGAATATTGTGTACAAGGAAATGTTAAGACTGGTTACCCCTAAACAACATATACTTATACTTGCTTCTGGAAAAGTGTTTAAGACTTAGCTAGGTTTCCATTTAGATCTTCATATCTGTTGCATGGAAGAAAGTTGGAATCTTGGCATAGAGTTGCATGATATGTAAGATTTTGTGCATTAATAATTGTTAAAATCTGTGATCCCAAAGTGGACATAGCATGTACAGGCAGTTTTCTGTCCTGTGCACAAAAAATGTTTAAAAAAACTTGTTTAATATTTGTTGTTGTATACACAAATACGCACCGAATAAACTCTTTATATTCATTCAAAAATCATTGATGTGTATTTATTGAACATCTATTTCATGACATTAACTTTTGTAGAAACAAGAGTTAAAAAATTGCATTAAGTGCACTAGTTCACTGCCATTCCGACAATCTACAGCCTAGAGATTCATATTAACATGAATACTCTTGGTGGTATAGAATGTGTTTCCTTTTCTTTTTTTTTTTATTTGGACCACATGCAGTGATGCTCGGAGCTGCTCTCAGTTCTGTGCCCAAATCATTTTGGGTGGTGCTCAGGAAACTTTGGGTGCTGAGGATTAAGCCCAGGCTTCCGGCATGCAAAGAATCTTCTCAGCCCATTGAGCTATCTCCTGCTCACAAAAGGAATGCTTTTTAAAGTATCCTTGATCCATCGAAGGGACTACCAAGTAAAGGGTGCTTGGGGGGTCTGCTCAGGATGGGAGATGAGAGCTGAAAGTAGACTATAGACCTAACATGATGGCTACTCAATACCTACAGTGCAAACCACAACACCCAAAAGGAGAGAGAGAACAAACGGGAATGCCCTGTCACAGAGGCAAGGTAGGGTGGGAGGATGAGGTGGGGGTAGTGGAAGGGCTACTGGGATAATTGGTGGTGGAGAATGGGCACCGGTGGAGGAATGGGTACTTGATCATTGTATGACTGAAACGTAAGCACAAAAGTTCGTAAGTCTGTTACTGTATCTCCCGGTCATTCATTAAAAAATTTATAAAAAAATATATTGAAAAAACCCTAAAAATAAATAAATAAAGTGTATTAAACACATTAGCTATTTCAGATTGGAGCAGCTACTCTCCTTCCCTTTCGGTAAAGGAATTCCACAAACGAGACCCATGTTCTAGTATTCTCTCTGCTATTCAGACTGTCATTAACCCTTTTCTCATTTCTTATTAGATAAAAGATGCAGGCACAACTATATACACAGAGTATCCCCATCTAACTCCAAGTAAATATCTAAATGCCCCACTTCTGGGATTAAGAGAAATTGTTATTGTCTATGATATTTAGCGGCTCCAAGTTTCCACTGACTAACAGTTAAGCTTCTGGCATAGCTGGAAGGTAAGGAAAGGCAAGAGTGAAGGAGACAGGAAAACAACAACTTGCAGTTGCTTTTCAAGGCATGGATCAGATAAAGCTACCGGGGGCCCATACAGGATGCTTTTTGCAAGGAGGAAGGCTGCCTATTCTTTAAAATGTTTGAACTGGATGCTGCTGTAACTTCTAGCCCAGCCTAGCCAAGTCCCCTTGTGATTCCTTCTGTTTCTTTTTAATTATTATTATTGTATCACCATAAGATACAGTTACAAAGATTTCATGATTGAGCTTCAGCCGTACAATGACCGAACACCCATCCCTCCACCAGTGTACATTTTTCACTACCAATGTCCCCAGTATTCCTCCCGCCACACCCACCCCACCCCAACCTCTACCTCCATGACAGACACTTTCCTTCTTTCTCTCTCCTTTTCGGTATTATGGTTTGTAATACAGATACTGAGAGGTCATCATGTTTGGTTCTTTGTCTACTTTAAGCACACATCTCCCATCCCGAGCCATCCCTCCAATCATTATTGACTTAGTTGACCCTTCTCTATCCCAACAACTCCCTTCTCCCCCAGCTCATGAGGCAGACTTCCAACCATGGACCAATTGTCCTGATCCTTGCCTCTCCAGTCCTTGGGTGTCATTTCCATAATATGCTATTTTATATTTCACAAATGAGTGCAGTCATTCCTTCTTAGTCTTTCAAACTAGTCTAGTGATTTCTTTTTAAAGTCTTTAAGTCTCATTCCACCTGAGCTTTGAAGTCTATCAGAGGTGATGTTGCCTTCCTAGCTTGGCACTCAGAAATCTATGTACCATGTAGGATGAGTGTAAACTCACTCAACTTCTGTCCCTCTTAAGTCTCACAACTTTTCCATGAAGAGAGTAAAATTGGTACATTGTGTCCGGATTTTATTTTTTTATAACAATTGTCACAATGGAGACTTTACTGGGCCCACTCGAGCAAATTGATGAACAACAGGAGGACAGTGACAGTGACAGTGATTTAAAAAAAATTCCAGGCCTCAGAGATCATACAGGAGTTATGGTGCTTGCCTTTACATGTGGATAATGCCAGTTCAATCCTCAGCACTGTATATAATCCTGTGAGCTCCTCCAGGAAGTATTCCTGAACAGAGAGCTAGGAATAAACCCTGAGCACTGTCAGATGAGACAAAAAATTAAAAGTAAACAAATAATGGTTATCATCATTTGTAATAACCATGCCACCGGGCTCCACGCCAGGATGTTTTCGCTCAGGACACCCCAGAGTGGGGAGGGTGAGAGCCCCCCCCACCTCAAGGGACCCAGCCCTGGCAACCGACCTCCACTACCCAACTGCTGCCATGCTCCAGGCTGCTTTCCGGACCACGTGGCCACTTCGCAGCCTCACGACACATTATAAGACACTTTCTATCCATTTACCATAATTACCACACCATATTTCATGGGGTTCAGACAGTAGGCAACAAATCATAGAGAGAAATATATAAATATATGCCTCTCTGAGAGATCTACCAAGCTACCAATAGTATCCCACCCACTCGGGCAGATCCTGGCAAGCTTCCCGTGGTATATTCGATATGCCAAAATCAGTAAGGACAAGAGGTCTCATTCCCTGGACCCTGAAAAAGCCTCCAATGGTTGGGAAAAGACAAGTGAGAAGAGGTGGCTAAAATCTCAGGGTTATCGTGTTCGGTCTATAGTCTACTTTCAGCATGCATCTCGCATCCCAAGCGAATCCTCCAAACATCCTTTACAACAAGATGGCCACTCAATGCCTCTTTTGCAAACCACAGCACCCAAAAGGAGAGAGAAAACAAAAGGAAATGCCCTGCCACAGGGGTGGGGTGGGATGGGGGGAAGGAGGGTGGGAGGGATACTGGGGGCATTGGAGGTAGGGAATGGGCACTGGTGGAGGGATGGGTACTCAATCATTGTATAACTGAAACCCAAGCATAAAAGTTTGTAAGTCTACAACTGTACCTCATGGTGTTTCACTAATTAAAAAAAAAAGTTAAAAAATAAAAAAAATAAAATCTCAAGGCTGTGAGTAATAGAGATGTTACTGGCGCCTGCTCAAGTAAATAGACGAACAACGGGATGACAGTGATGAAACAAATAATAAATCCAACCATACCTCCCACCCTTCTCTTTTGATGTAACAGTTTGCTTATCACTAACCAGTGATCTATTTTTACTTTGTTTTGTCTGTTCATATGTTTTATTTCCTCACATCTCACTCCATGTAAGGAATTAAACATGAATGAAATCATGCAGTACTTGTCTTACCTCTGATTTATGCTTCTGAATATAATCCCTTCAGTTCCTTCCATTTTGATGCAAATGGCAAGATTTCATCCTTGTAGTCGAATAATACTACACTATATAAAAGCGTGCAATGTATGTTTATCCAATGGTATTTTTGCTCTGAGTCCTATGAGATTTGGTCATTGGCTATTTGGGCTGCTGATTTTGCCTTTTCCTTCCTCAGTAATTGCATAGGTCTTCTGGTAAGAAGCAAAGAAGCGTACTGGTGTCTCAGGGATCACTTGATCACTTGATACCCCACTACTCATCGATTTGCTCGAGCGGGCTCCAGTAACATCTCCAATCATCCCTGTTGTGTGCTAGTGTAGCCCAATGGCATCTGCTCATTCTAGGAACATGAAGAGCCTCGTGCCGATAATTCAGGGTCTTGATGAAGAAATCTGATCATCTCGTAGGTGGACGCCCACGCGATCTTTTGACGTCCCGTGAAATCCAGTCGGTAATGGCTCTAGTCCAGCGGTCATCTCTAAATCTCATTACGTGTCCAGCGTCCCTGATTCTTGAGTGTTGACGGAGGTCGGAATTCTGATTCTATCTCTCATTTGAGTGAAGCGTGATACTCCAAGCATAGCTCTTTTGATTCCTCTTTGAGAGACCTGAATAGCGTTCTCATCCTGTTTTTTTAGGGCCCAGGTCTCTTGAGGCGTATGTTAATGCAGAATGAACAGTGGAATCAAAGAGATGTGCTCGGAGCTGGAGGTTCTTTGTCCTCTTAGTTTTTATTCGACGCTCTTGAAGGCATTCCAAGCTGCTCTTTTTCTTCTGCGTAACTCTGGTGCCAGGTCATTCATCATGTTGACTTCTCGACCTAGGTACATATAACTGTTGCATTCAGAGATGGTCATTCCATTGAGAGTAAATGGAACATCAGGAACAAGACTGTTTCTCATGAACATTGTCTTTGTGAGATTCGGTTGTAATCCGACCTTTCCACACTCACGGTCGAAGTTGGTCAGCATTTGTGCCGCTTGGCTGATGTTTGGTGTTATTAGAACGATGTCATCAGCAAAGGGGAGGTGGTGTATTTGCCGACCATCTACCTTCACTACCATTCCTTCCCATTCCAGTCGTCACATGACATTCTTGAGGGTGGCACTGAAGAATTTCGGTGAAATGGTATCACCCTGCTGAACCCCTCTCTTGACATGGATGATCACTTCTTTGTAGAATGGTGAGATCCTGGTAGTCAATCCATAATACAGCTCATGGAGGATCCTGATGTATTGGGCTTGAATGCCCTGATTGGCTAGGGCTTCAATGACCGCTTCTGTCTCAACAGAATCAAAGGCCTTCTTTAAATCAATGAATGTTAGACAGAGCGGCATCTTGAACTCCTGAGAAACCTCAATGAGCTTGGTTATCATGTGGATATGGTCTCAGGGATGCCTGGTATAAATAAGAAGGTGAAAATGCTGAGAAGAACACTTTACTCCCAGCATAACCTGAAGTAATTTCTAACAGATTGTGGTGTTTTTTAAAATAATTTTATGTATATAACTGTGATTTACAGAATTATTGATAGTTGATAATTAGGTGTATGATATTTCAACACCAATCCCACTGCCAGCGGCAACTTCCTTCCACCAGTGTTCTCATATTCTTCCCACCCCCAACTCCCCACCCCAC